CTCATAATCACGCGATCGCGACTGCTTCGGCATCGCACTCTGACACTTGCACCACAGTACCGTACTAACTTGTGCTCACTGCACACACTAAAGTTTCTCCAGTGGAGTTGGTATATCCCACTTCTGATATGTAGGCAAATAATTTTACAAAAGGAATTTCCGTTAACAACAAAGCGTATATTTTCGTGATAAAACTGAAGACTGGTTCGGACGTGCGATCTCGGCGACGTTCTCCCGACAGAGTGTCGCCTGGCTTCGTGTCCTCGTTCGTGTCCTCCTCGGTCCAACCCTCGTCCGGATACCCTAGCTCGGTTTACAGGCGTCGGTCATAAACATTGGAATCGGCCCATGGTCCTTAATCTCGAGTGGCCTCTTCTACCGAATAGCCAAGGAAGTTTTCCCACGCCGACGGGCGGCGTGGCTAACATTTGCTTACAGTATAAAATTAAAAATATAAATAATCAGATATATAATTTAAATAAATAAATATAAATTTTTTATCTCAATTTTCATCAATCGTTGTTTTAAATCGTTATATTTCTTCATTAATGAAGAAATGTACCGCCACGTTCAATTCAATAAATAATTCTCAAAGCAGATGTGGCAATACTGTCCATATTTTTTAATTTTAATCAATAGTAGCGCTGTAATGCAAAATCTGTCTGAATCAGTACGACAGGATGTAATACGAAAATGGTAAGGGGATCCTGAGATCCCCCGAATCGTTGGCCGAAAAAATACATTGTATGCTAGGTCTATTCATATACCTCGTCTGTGTTTATGCTATTAATCAATGGTTAGTATTTCAGATCACGATGCAATTTCTTCATATACCTCGTCTGAAACGTGATGAAACTTTATCTCAAACATTTTCTTCATAAAACAAAAATACAGCAGATATATTTTTATTTAAAAGTTGCGTCTTGTATAAAATGTGAAATAATTTAATATTAATTTTTTTCAATATTATGTAATATTTTTTTATTCAGAGTAGCACAAGAATTCACAGAAAAAAATCGTAAAGATCCATTAATATTTTACGATTAATATTTTATTCTATTATTATTAATATTTTATTCTATTTACGCTTAAATGTTTCGTTACTCTATTTGGCCACTCGCTGTTTTGTTGATTACATACTGATATTTAAGAAATTGTTAAGCCTATAATATTTGATTATTTTTATCGTGATTAATAAACGTGATAATTTTGAATATGTGCTTCATTATCCGCAAAGTATTAAGGTGGATCTTCTCAGAATATGCCCGGAAATAATTAATGAATTAAAATATTTTCTTATCAGAGTGTAACTTATCGACTAAATGATGTTCCATAATAGTTAAAAATTTAATTAAAAATTAAAAAATTTAATGTTGCATATTTCCAAAGATAATTCTAAAATAATTCTTAATTAACTAATGGAAGATATTAAAAATCATAATCTAAATAATTTATTATTAATTTAAATTTATTATTTCTATACATAATTTATAATGGACAGAAAATTTATACATAGTAAATCTAATTCTATCGTTAATACTAGATTTACGACTCGTGTCTATTTGACGGATTTCTGATTTTGTGAGCAAATTTAAAAAATTTTTACAATTTTTTCCTGGCATTTTTTGCTAATATTTATTAATACTATTTCGAATTTATATCCGAGGTCATTAATTAACCTCTAATTTTAAAAGTTTTTTAAGGTTTTAATTTTAAAGTTTTATTCGTGATATATCTATCTCTACGAACACCCATTAAATTGACGGATTAACTAATTTCATAAATAATCCCAATAAATTTGTTTCATTCGTGAAATTATTATTCCAATAATAAATATAAAAATAATGTAAAAGTAGAAATCATAATACGATGAACACATTTTTCTGTTTTGAATGATATCTCAAATGAACCGCGACGGTACTTCAATGGATCATATGGTTTCAGAGTTTATCTTACTTTGTCAAAAGCGTTTACTGCGTATATTGTATAATGTTAATATAATAAACATTTTATAATTATATAACATAATATAACTAAATTCATAAGTTAATAGTTAGGATTAAATTGTTTTTAAAATAATTAAATCGATGTTTAAGGAATATGCGTATTTTCATTCACCCGTTAATTTGACGAATATCCATAGAAATAGGTATAAAAGAAATTGCCGTAAATTTAGTGTTAATTTTAATACTTATTTTAAATAGTATAATAAACAGATTAAAATGTATTCCTACAAATTGGACACGTGGATTTTTGACTTGTACTAAACCACTTGTACTGAAAAGGAAAGTGAATATTAATTTCAGAAGAGATATTAATCACACAAAATTTCATTAGATATTGAGAATACAATAAACTTACCAAACATGCAGTATGAAATTTCTTGCGACATGTATGACAAGATAATTTTGGTATTTGATACGTATTCATGTGAAAAATACTAAAACATATATAACATTCTTCCACACCAGCAAATTTCTTATCTAAATTTCTTTTCCATAATGCAAGTCCATCACATATTGACCCATTCTACAAAAAATATAAAGAATAAAATATTTCCTTAATTGTTTAATCTAAATATAATTCAATTTCATTGTTTAAGTTGATAAATTATTACTTGGTGTGTCAGAAATATAGACAACTGCATGTGACAATTCCTCCAATTTGCTGTACCACCTGCGTGTTGTCCAGATTCAACAGTAATTGATCCCAGTGGATGATTAGGTGGCAATATAATATTAAGTTCCAGTTTTGTATCATCCATTTGATATAAGGCTATCACTTCACGAAATGTTGGATGTACTTTCACTTGCATATTTTCAATGTTATGCAATTTATTCTTAAGAAGTTCTTCTTGACAAAGCATAGGACTAACATAATGAGTTGTGATTTTATCTATGGCAACACTGACTTTACTATCAGCAGTGTTCCACCATTGTCTTACCAATACTGGTAAATATCTCAAACTGTTCGTGTATATCCAACATACAATATGATCTAACCTCCATTCCGTCCAACTTTCTGTAAGATATCATAAATGGATAAATATTAAAAATAAAATGTAACAGAAAAGAGAGCAATTTAATTATTAATACCGCCAAAATTTAGAGATGGTTCAGTAGAAAATATTTCCATTAATTTAGCACTCTTGTTTATATTGTCTTGAAGTATTTCTACTGGCATAAGTCGGAATATGTTATCTAATAAATTAGGAAAGAAGTTATCCCTGAAATAGATATGTATAAGCTTTAAGTATTGAAATTTTAAATTAAACATCAACTAAAAGAAATCTCGGTTTTTTTTCAGTTGAAGTTCAATTGAAAATAAGTAGAAAAATATTTAGAAAGATATTTACTTGAGTATTTCAGCATATAGATATAGTAAGTCTTCATGAGCATTTGCACACATATCTAAAATGATAGCCCATGACAATAAATATCCAATAGTATAAGTATATGCATCAGTATGTGGTTGAATAGTACAGCTTACAGTATCACATAATCTAAAAATATTATAAATTAAAAATTTATTTTTTGCCAATAAAAAATTAGACTGTACCAAAACATAACTGTACCAATGACAGGAAAAAATTGTCGACAATTTAAACTAATATACCTTTATAAAGATCATACTTGATCTTATTTTAAAATGTGAAACTTCTATTTTGACAACCTTGAGTTCGTTTTTTTTTTTAAATATTTTTACATCATGTAGCGAAAGTGGTAATTTTCTTGAAAATTGTAAAAATTCAAACGCGTGCAAAAATATTAAAAAGTTTTTTATTGCTATATCTATCATGGTCTTAAAGATTGAAATTTTCTCTTTACAAGTCCTTAAAACTCGCTGTACGATTTTTTTTCACCATTTTTTGCACTTGAAATATTAGAATTACATGACAAAATAGAATTTCTCGAATTTTAAAGCGTTCATTCAATGCCAATATTCAATGCTCAATAAAATGATAAATAAAAATTGTACAAGTTTTAGGGAGTCGTTAGAGAATATAATTCTTCTCTTCTTGAAAATAATGGTTCACGTAACTATAAAAAAAAATTTTTAACACATTTAATTTTTAATCATGAAAGTATTCTCAAAACTCGTTACTTGATATAAAATCATCTTTGAAAAAAAAAAAAACTCACAGCTGTCGAAGTAAAAGTTTTGAAATGAGACAGTGTATCGTTATACGATTTCTTTTAATGAGTATAGTATCAGTGTATATTCCGGACAATGTTGTTATACTTTTTACTATAGTGGAAAGAAATGTTTAATTTTGGCTACCATAGAAGAATTCTACACTTTCGATTTAATGGAAAAGCATGTAAAGAACCTGCCGCAAAATTGATCTTGACCTTGAATTTCAAGGTCAAAATTTTTTATGTTTGCATTGTATTCTACACACCATCAAGATGAAACTTTTCCAAGGATATCGTAATCTAATGTTTCTATAAATAAATCGTAATCTAATGTTTCTCTTGGAAAATGGCAAAAAAATTTTTGGTAATTATTTAAAAGGGGGGGGGGGGGTCCTACCGATTTCGACGATTTTTGAATATGTTGTAGAAATCAACATTTTGAACAACTTTTTCCTACACATAACCGCCGCTCGGCCTTAGTTTCCGGGACTTTTGCAAAAAACTATTGCTATTATTCAATGAATATTGCCTATAGCTACGTGTCTGTGGCAGCGTGTGTGTAAACGGTGAGTCGCCGATTGTTTATGGTTTCTATAAATGCATCAAGGCAACCGTGTGGACGCGTATAACGGCTGTACTTAAAAACTCGATTTGAGTAGCCGGCCGCCTCGCGGCGGGCGGAATAAAAAAACCTTACCCGAACTTAATCCATTAAATTAGTTACTAGGTAAAATAGTTAGGTAAGTATGGTTAGATTTAAATAGAATACAATGAAAATTAAAAAAAATTTTAACCTTGAAATTCGGGGTCAAGACCAATTTTGCGGCAGGTTTTTTACATGCTTTTCGATCGAATCAAAAGTGTAAAATTCATATATGATACCCCAGATCATACATTTCTTTCTTCTACAATAAAAAAGAAGCTGAAAACTTACTTAAAATCCATTAGAATAGTATTCACGATACTTTGCGTATTCTGAAGTACTTCTTCCACTTTTTTAATGTTCAAAGTATTTATGTCGAAATTTTCTAATTCTATTGTGTCTTGATCTTGTTGTACAAGCTTTAATACTGCATGCTTTAATACATGATATGCGCTTAATTGTATACTGGCTACAGGAGATTGAAGTAATTTCAATGCCAATTCAACAGTTGTTGTAAGAGATATATGACTTTTGAAAATTATATTTCCATCAACTATTTTCATAGCCTTTCCTAAATGATCCAATAATACAACAGATTTCAAAGCTGTTGTTTTTTCATTGTATGAATCTGTAACATAAAATTTCTTTATTATTGTATAAAATTTATTATTGTATAAAATTGCAGACAAAATGTCAATAATTTAATTATATATCTAAATTATAAATTATAAATATACCTGCATAAAGCATCCAACATTGAATAATTCCACTTTGTATATCATTGATAAAAACATTCTTCCATTCATCTAATATTTTCGGTGATATTACTGTTGTTTTTTTCTGATCACACTTGTTAATTAAATCTTGGACCGCATAATAAAGTTGACAAATAGCTACTGTCGATATAGATGCCTTAAAGATAAAACAAATTTATAATAAATTTTAATTAACTAACAAAAATTAACAAAATTTTCGAATAATGTAAATAATTAACTGCATACCTTAAAATCAGTAACATTTTGTTTTGATTTCGCAATAGAAAGCGGCAATAGGACTAAAGACGTCAGAATAAAATTCCAATGTTCGTATGTTAACTTAGATGGAATTTTCTTTACGACTTCTGTCAATAATTTTATAAGTTCTAAAGATAAATTTAATTTATCCCAAGAAATTTGAGAAATTTCACTATAAGAAAGTATTACATTTTTTTATATAAAATTTATATAAATATATACTTAGATATAAAATATTACCAATCTAGTAATGAAGAATGTTCCTCAAAAATATTAGAGCACTTTGAAATATCATCTTGTTTAATCAACATGCTTCTTATTAGTATTAATTTAGAAATATTATTATTCGGTATCCACGTATCCAAAATGTTATCCCAATTTTGAAATTTGGATAGAATCTAAAATAAAATTTTCTGTCACTACATAGAAGATATATTTTATATTGATTTTAAAATTAATAGTGTAATACTTGTAAATTTTGAAGCATTATTTCTTCGTTTATAGCAAATATGTTTTTATTTTTATATTTTTCAAATAATTCCTGTGGCTGTTTGATATAACATAACTTTGTGCAGCAAAAATATATTATATATGATAGCATACTTCCATATTTCGAATAGTTTCTGCAAATATAATTGAGATAAATATTAGAGAAATTATAGCGAATATTTTATAAAATATACTTATTTAAGTTTATTTAAAAGACATACAATGCTATATAGTCACAAATTTTATTAAATGTATCTTCGTTAACATATATCTGCAACTGTTTAAAACTTTCTTGTAGAATCATTAAAGTTTTATTCACATTATCATAACACTTAGTCTGAAAATAATTGTTCAATGAAGTAATAGTTCCTTTGTTACTGAAATTAAATATTTCTATATATACTATAAACTACGATCACACTTACAGATTTATAATATTTGGAATAAATTTCGCCCAAAATAATCGAATGTATAATATCAATTAATAAATTTATAACTCCCGGCAAATCTAAATTGTGTATCAATAATTTTTCAATATTAGATTCTTCTGATTTATATTTATTAATTGATTTCAAGTATAGATTATTTAATATATTCACATTAAACAGTGCCCATTTCAAACAATTTTCAGTATTATCTGTTATTGTATCATTGGTTAAATCAATAGACATACATTTCTGACGAATTTGTATGTTTTGATCAAGAGATGATACATGCAATTCACCAGTTATTACTTCACCATATATAATTATACCAGTAGTTTCAGCTATCCATGTTGTTATATCAGAATTCGTTAAAAATGCTAAAATAATTTCTTCTGCATAGGAAACATCATCATCAAGTATAATTTCAACAAAATCAACTGCTACATCGACTAATATTTCTTTGTTATGTTCTTCATTTCTGGAACACAATAAATATGTTATAAGAAATAGATTAAAATATTTTGTAAATAATATATTTTCAGTAATGTAATATAATATAATTTTCTTACAGATTATATATCTTTTTCCATATAGATATTGCAAACATTTTAGTTAAGCTAATAAATTCGGATTGTGATAATTTTCGGATTGCTTCCAAGAGACTTTTTGTCCATACATCTCGTATTGAATCAATGAAAGCAGAATTATAACTGAAATAATTATCCAAACGTAATTCGAAAAGAGTTTCTAATATTTGTATCGCTCCCATTGTTGTTTCCTTGTGAGACCATGCTAATGGAACTATACAACAAATTAAGTTCATGAAATCCAACAAACATGTTTCATCTATTCTATAAAATGACTTGCAAAGTATAGATATGATCTCATTAAATTGTTCCTTTATTAACAAATCTAAAAAATAATGTATAAATTATTTATATATATTAATAAAATGTAATCAAATTAAATATCATAAACTTACTACTATCTTCTAAAGCTTCAAAAGATAATAAAATAAGATTTTGATTTTTTCTCAGATTAAAATAAACATTGTCTAAAGCAATGTTTCTTGCTGTATCTATCAATGTAGCAGTAATCTTAGACTGTGAACACCATTTTTTTACTATCTCATCATTCCTATGTTTTTTAGATAAAGCACACTGTATGATACTTTTTGTTATTATGATATCGTCAAACTGAAAACAAATAAAATATATAATCAAAGAAAAAAAAAATGTCTTTTTAAGAACACGTAAAAGAATTTATTTATTTTTACCTCTGTTAATGACTTCAAAATTTCGTTTTTTTCAGAATGACTCACGTATTTCATTAGATTAAATATCAATTCTATTATATCTTCAATTTCTTCCGGTTGCTCCAGCAACCAACTTCGTAAAATTTCATTATAAAAATTAAAAATATTAATTTGTGTATTAAGACGTTCAAACAAATTTTTAAAAGTATCACTTTCAAAATAAGTTATAAGTTTATTTAGATATGTGACATATTTTTTTTCATTTTTTTCAATGATTTGATTAAAATATTTCACACAAATGGAATTAACGAAATTTTTAAGCTCAGTAAGAAATTCAACATCAGTATCATTCTCCACATCAGTATTCTCATTTTGTGTTTGAGATTGATTTATTATATTTTCTTCTGAATTACAGAATTTCACTTTTAAATTTTTACGATCATGTACAGAGGCCGTTCTTAATGTAATTAAAAATTCTATTTGGGAGTTATTTATATCTAGAATACCAGATTCGGATTTTTCACTGGCATCTATAAGCGAAATGAATAGTATATCAAGATTTCGCCAAAATTCTTCTATCAAACAAATATAAGATTTATAATTTTTGTTATATCGATTTTTACTCCAGTATCGTACCAAATGAGTAATTTCGCAAAAAAACATTTGTTTCATCGGACCAGTTTCTTTTAAACATATTTCTAATGATGGAATGAGCTGAAATAATTAATCATTAAATTTTGAATTTTTGCTACAGAAATCATAATGATAATATATACAATAAAAAATATGACTGTACCAATGACAATGAAAAATTGTAGATAATTTAAACTGATATAATAACTAATAAAAAAAGAATTCACTTCTCAGTGTCATTCACATTCTAAAGCGTGAAACTTTGACAGTCATGAATTTGTTTTCTTTGAAAATGACTTTACATTATGTAGCTGAAAGTGAGAATTTTTCCTCAAAAATTATCAAAATTGAAATATGTGCAAAAATATTAAAACATTTTTTTTCATAACTAGATCTATTATCAATTTGAAGTCTCTATCATCAGACTGAAGTCTCTCCTTTACAATGACCTCTTAAAACTTATTTTTTCACTATTCAATGTTCAATTACATTTTAACTGTATTGAATATTAAACAACAAAAATTCAAGAAATATCTAACATTTCATCATCTAACACTAATGTTGAAAGTTTAATAAAATGGTTAAAAAATTCGTACAGCGTTTTAAAGAATGTTGTAAAAAGAAAATTTCAATCTTCAAGCCATGATGAATAATCATCAAAAAAATATTTTAATATTGCTGAATCGCGTCTGCTTACAATTAAGACTGCCTCAAACGGTTTATACTCAAACTTAATTTCATGTAAATGAAATGGAACATTTCACATGATTGATTCTAATTTGTAATTTCTAGATAATGAATCTGTATCTCATCTCATATCTACTATTTCTTGCTCCTCTATTTTTATCTGTCTTCCGACTGATAGCGAATCTGTTTTAGACTTTGACTGGTGAATTACCGCCAATTAATTTGAAGTATGGGCTGTTCGATTGCCCTGATCTAGATGTATTCATGTAATGTTAATTTGAATATTGTGTGATGATCCAACGTCAACCGTCTTTGAGAACGCTAAACAAGACCGTCATCGACCAGGAATGACAACAAAAAGTATAACCGTGATCGAGCGTGACGAACGCTAGAATTTTTTTTACCGGTATAAAAATGGTCGAACACTTGCCTTTAGTCATAAATATTTTAAATTTAGATTCCAAATAGATTCTTCGTACTGATAAAAAGTTTAATGTCTTTGATTTAGAAATTTCTGTACGTTTGATTGTTATAACCGTCTCACAATTCAACGAAGAATGCTTTAACCACAGTTTTTTGTTTATTGAAGCTATTTGATCTTTAACAAGTTTGAATTTTTACAATTTTCGAGAAAAAAGTATCTTCACTTTCCTAGTTGCTATATGACGTAAAATCATTTTCCAAAAAAATATTTTTAAAGTAAAGGCTTCACACTTTGAAATGAAACAAAGTGGATCATTATATGATCTTTTACGAAGTTATATCAGTTCAAAATATTGACAATTTTTTATTATTGTAACGTAAATGGATAAAATAAAAACCTGTTCTCTGAGCAGAGTATTACTTAAATCTTGATTATTGACATTTAAAAGAATAGAATAACGCAAACATTCGACAAACGATGTCGTTACCGCAAGTGCTTCAGAATGACTCATTTGTACATTTTTTACAGAAAATCTGAAAATAAGATAAATGTATATACTTTAATATAATCAAAACATCTAATTTAATTAATTGATTAAATACCCTTCTCGCATATAAGTGAAGAAATTTATATATAAATAATGAGAATCAACACTTAGTTTTGGAAATTGACTAATAAGAGGTAATAAATTCGGATAAATAATACTCGCGCAACATTGCCCTCCATTTCGTAAAACACGCCATAATTTTGGTAATAGTAGTTTTTCAATATTTATTACATTGTACCAATCCTAAAAAAAAAACATGTTATTTAATATTATAGACTCACAACATTAGTATAAATAATTATTTACCTCTATTTTATTTATAGTAGCAAGCATAGATTCCCATACAACTGATGACAATACAGGATCTGTTTCATCAAGACTATTTATAATACTTGTTACAGTTCTCTTCTTTTCATTTTGTAATATTATATTAGCATTCTCAATCATTGATGTTAATACAGTAAAAAAAGCTGTTTTAATTGGAATTGCATCAGCTTTGATTAAATTCCAAAATTTGTTGCTGCTTATAATTTTATTATGAACCTCAATCATTTTTTCAATCTCTTGGATAGGAACTTTCTTTAAATAAACACTGTATCCATGTAAACTGGATGTTAGTATTCTCTGATATTTTGCTTCTATTTCCTCTGCAGTGAAATCCCTAATAATATTATAACAATAGATATCATTAACATAACAACTATTATAATTTTGTTTTTTATCTTTAGTAAAAAATATAACAAACGTACTTCTGTAACAAAGATAGAGCACTAAGAGCTGTTACATTATCACAGATATAATTCAGGATTTCATGCTGACAATACACGATAGCATCAATAATTTTTTTTTGTGGAAATGTATCCTATATGTAAAAAATATTCACATTGAAATAGATTATTAATAAATTATAGTTATTAATAAATTATAGATATTTACATTGAATGAATTAGTAGCAATTGATGCAGCAGGAGGATATGTATCATATTGTGAAATGAACCAAATTCCAGCTAATTGTTTCAAATACATTGCTATACCTTTGCCTACACGTTTTACAACAGCTGCATGTGCTAACTGTGCAGCTTCTCTTACTCTATGTTCTATATCTATTGCTAAGGCACAATATAGCCGTGGCCAGAATGGTAACATTCCTTCCACAATTGATATTTCTGAATCTCTACACAAAATAGCAAATTCTTGTAAGGCCTATAAAATATTTAAAAAAAAGGCTTTTAGTTTTAGATGTAATTATTAAAGTAATTATTCATACAAAGGTAATTATTTGTTACCTTATATTTGGTTGTTGAATCTTTTTTATTCATCTTTTTTAATATTATTTGAACATTACTATCAACATTGTTCATTTCAACTTCATTTGTATCACAAAATGTTAAACCTGGTAATACAGGTACATATTCCCCATCTTTCACTGCTGAGAAACCAACAAAATTCACCATCGAAGTACCCAAAAATTCTGCACTTCTGCTACTATTTGATGGCTAATATAAATAATAATAATATTTAGACACTTATAATAATTAAAAAATTAATATTTAAAATAAATATTTAGACATTTATAATAATTAAAAAATTAAATGTTTTCATTGATAGATCATATGTCAAACAAATTTTGATAAAATAATTAAAATAAAATAATCATTTAAAGAAAATATGACATTATAAAATTGTTGTTACTATGTAATTTTTTTAATGAAAATATTATGATTATAATTTTAGATCAAAAAATATTATTATAACTAGATCGCAAATTTTTATACAAATTCATATTTTTATAAATAGAATTTAGAAAAAAAAAAATGCAAAACAAATACAAAATTGTTTTCTCAACTAATTATCATATAAAGTATTGCATTTTGGATATCTTATTACATTTTTCCATCTTCAAATTTCTTATAAATACATAAAAATTCGTAATCTAGTTATAACAAATTTAATTTATAAAGTTCTTCTAACAATTAATTTCTTTATAATAATATAATTTTTTGCTTACCCTTGCATTATTTTTGGTTCGTCGCGCTTGTTTGTTCTTTCCCATGATAATTACTACAGCAACAAAAAACAAGACATTGCGCGTACAAGAAATACTGACACTACACGTAAATTTTGGTCACTTTCACACCAAAATTACCGGAGTCAAAGTTATCAGAGAATTGAACACGGAGACAACCGTAACGTTAGTAAAAAAGTAACGTTATTAAAAATGGAGAAAACAGATCAGCGTTGTCAGATCTAAAATCCATTACAGTGTTGTCAATTTTCCCGACGTGAAGTTAGTAAAAAGTGAAATATGTATCTCAAAAAGGGGTCTATCTGTAATTCACAAATTCATGATAGATTTCTGCACGTAGTACATTAAAATTCTAAAGCTATTAATATATGATTTTTAATATAAATGACTTATACTTCATTAAACATTCTTAAAAACAACTAACTAAATTTTCAATTATTTCTTAAAATTTTCTTTCTTTACTGTATTTTTAGGTTTAATTATAAGTCAGTTGATTATGATTTGTCGTTACAAAATATAATTTTCTCGTTTACTTAAATTATATAATCAAATTTCTATTAAATTATTAATAATTTTATTATAATGATACTGGATATGACAAATAACGTGATATTCTTCATTAAATTACGCTTTTTTACTACAGCATAATTAAAATATAATTAAATTTTTTCTATAAATTATCTTTATCTTTATTTGTCAACTTTATCTATCTTTATCCATTTTTTATAAATTATTTTTACCTATTTAATATAAATCATCATTTCATGAAGATTTAATGTAAAATAGACCTACATATTTTTATCTCGCAAAATTAACCAATGAAAGGAATGTTTTTACAAATTTGGTGCAAAAAAACATGTAGTAAATCATGTTTTTGCAGGTCGAATAATTAGGAAAATTAGTTTTTTTTAAATAGAACGTTATATCTCCTTTCATGACATGTACGATGACATTATTGAGACAAGCTTAACAACTAATGTATAATATTTATTGTTGAAAAATATATATAGTTACTTGCGTTATAAATTAATTAGTTAATTAAATCTAAATTTAAATTAAGTCTGACATCTGTAATAATAGAACAACGTGTAGTAAATTGAGATCCAGGTTCCTGAAATTTAGATTCTCACGTGAGATAAAAAACTTGAATTGTCTACAGTAAATAAACACAAACGGATAAACATTCAAGACAAATTTGCTGAAGTGCATTCTAAAAGAATTTTATCATGCGATTGCCAGATTTCTAATACCATTGACTAACTAGCATAGACTAATCAACATCATTGACTAATAATCAATAACTATACGGATTACTTACCTGGTCCCTCTCTTCATTGCTTTGTTCTGTATTCAGCTTCTTTGATTGAGTTCGTATTCTTGATTATTGTTGTGTGATACGCCTTATAACCAGGAACAATGAAGTTTCACTACTTCCCAAAATTCCTCGAAAACTCCTCGAGACTGACTTTTATAAATATGACCCAAAAAGTAAAAAGGCAGTCAGTTTTTAAACTTCAAACTTGTGTCTTCATTCTGTTCGACCTAGAATTAAACCTAGTTACGTCGTTAGATTCAGGAAACACTCTTTTGATTGTAACACGTCGATACTTTCCTACCGTTTGTCGAATTGTCATGCATTTAGTTTTTTTGGAACTCAACCAACTGTAATAGTTGTCATGTTGTATATACCGTACTGTTTGGAATGCTTGGTTCAGCGTTTCTAATTGTTGACTGAATAGATTGTATTGTAAAATTTCAAGTTTTACATTGAAAAATTTGGAACATCTGGAAAATTGGAACGCCTCTTCATATAATTTTCCTTTTGCACAATTTCTTTAATGTCAACGTACATAAGTTTGGAGCTTTTTTTTTAAATTTATGATATTAAGCAGCTCATCGTGAATTTGAAAAATTCGATGTATAAAGTCATTTATGGGTTTGTTTAGTCTAGTTTTACACGAGCTCTCTTTGATTTTTAGTAACGAGATATCGATTGTCCTCCTGTAGAGAAAGCGATTTTTCTCTATCAATTTCGGAATTGTAATTATTGGTTGAATTGTTAGACTAGAACATATGTTTGGATTTGGTCATGCCAATTTTTATTTTCGATGTTTTCTATGACCTATTATTAACGTATGTAACAAAACTTTTTTTATTTTATAAAAATTTAACTCATTATGTTAAGAGTGGCCACGTCAAAAAATAAAACAATTATGAAACAAAAAAAAGTCGGTAACGATGAAAGAAATAGTGTAATGCTCAATTAAAGCAGATCTAATTTTTAAATATGGCAAATTTCTATCTATAGTGTTGTATGTCACTATATTTTTGGCGCGTAGGAACTCGTTATACGGATGTCTACTGTATATTCTTTTGTTTCAAAAAACTAGATATATGTATGTTAACTCATATCTATTTGGCGTCTTCTAATATTCTTATTCTATTACACATTTAGACTGATTTTTCGGCTATCATATTCATTTCAGTTTGAGGTCTTGTAGGAAACGGATATATTCCATTGACGCTCTGTTTTTGTTAATAAGTGAACGTTATCAAGTTTATGTCGAACTTTTCATATTACAATGGTTCTGCCTTCTTGATCAGATTAGTTTTTGAGATGTCTCCTTCCGAAATTTTTTTCGCTTCAACTTGAAAGAATACAGCAAATTCATTCTGAACTCATTCAATTACTTGTTTAATTTGTGGAATTTTTTCCCACACCAGTTTTAAATGTTCCTGCTGGTTCAACGGAAAGTTGCTCAATTATATACATACATATAAAGTTTTACTATCAGTTTCCACATCTAATGAAGATATAATTTATAATTAATTACAACAATTTTTGAATAGAATACAAACGTCTAATCTTCAAGAGATTTTTGCGGTTGAATTTAAGAAACTCAACAAAAGGAGGAATCTCGAAATAATTCACGATATTACATTCTTCAGCCTATAAAGCCGAGATCACTCAAATTAAGAATAAGTTACCTTCTTTAACAGAATCCAGAATTTCTATGATGAAAAATAAAATAATTGATAATTTATAGAATTATTAGAACTATAGAACTATAGAACTATTCATCGGTTTTCCATCGAAGATATCATTTTCAAGATAAAAGAAAAGTGTGCGAAATCCAATAATCTAATTTTTAAAAATCTAAACAAGTCCATCAGTGCTGCTAGACTATTGACGTCAAATCTTATTCTTTGATCGGTTTATTGTTATTGACATGTTATTCAAAGAAGCGATTAATTCTTTCTTTTTTAGAAGCGATGTAAGATTCTCTGATCTGATTATCAGATTATGTCTAAAAGCTAATCGAACTATAAACTTATGTCTAAAAGCATAAGAACCATAATGTTCTGTTTACCGGTTCATCAAACAATTTTAAAATATGTATGAAAAAAGTAATCGCTTAATCTGTAATCCATATCTTCATTTGTATTTTTTTATGTATTTGTGTATATTTCTCTTGATCTATCATCGTTAATCTATCTCTTACTATTGTTATCAAATTATGTCGTCAAGATGATCTTAAAACTTCAAATTTGTTTAGCAAAAAACAAGTTCCTTTTTTAAAACTTGTAGTTTATTGAAGAAATTACAAATTAAAAGAATTATAGGGTTGGACTAATTAAGAATTATGTGCGATTTGATTTTTTCCTCGATATTAATAAGGATGCTAATTCTACCGAAATAGGAAGACAGAGGCTTTCACAACAATATGTCGGAATAATGTTTCCAACAATCGCAACAATATTCCTGACTTGGAGATTTTTAGGAAAGCTTGGATCCATCTCAGTGATTTCTTCTGAAAAAAATATGTTTTCTCGAATAAATAAATTTGAGCGTTGATAATTGGCTAGGTAGGCACCGTCATCTGAGCTCACATAACTCTTCCCATATTTAGAATGGAAAATAAACAAAGACCATTCATAGTAATGTCATGCGGTGTGACAAACACGAACACAGAAATAATATCTTGAATTAAATATTTTATTTAGTCTTTAAATTATTTTTTATTTGTTTTTATTCGGGAATAGGGAGTTGTTGCATTTTCATTAAAAAGACTTTCCAGAAAAATAAAAAATATAAAAGGTCGTTTAGTTGCCGACAATTGATATAAATTCATACAATGTATTTCAAAAACATTTTTCATATTAACCAGTTGCTTTATAATTTTCTTCTCAGTTTTCAGTAAATATTAGTTATTATAACACGTCATGTCAGATGTAAAACATTGAAAGCATTATATATAATTTGTTAATATATTTGAAGAATTAAAATTGAAAATTCAAGTTCATATTTCATACTTTTGTTTTCAAATCGAAACAATAATTCCTATCACGAATGTAACTCAATATTATAATTCAAAAGGTTAAGATAATTCGAAAAAGTTTTTTATGAGTTTTACGATTCGTTTTTAAAATATATAAAATATAAATTGAAAATTGTCTATTTCGTTGTTAAGTACGCATTCATGTACTTTTCCTTACACACATACTATATATATGTATATAGACTACATCAACTGAAGTGTGTTTCAGACACACATGAACAAACAACGAATATCTAAATTTCATTTGTTTATAGCTCAAAACGTTAAAAGACTTATTTCTACGCTCTGATTTATTTTCGTTCAGTTTTTCATCTGCACAGTCTTTTGTATAAGCACATGTATATATTTTTAAAATAACGTGTGCATACATGAAATATTAAAAAATATATACATATAGTTAATTAGCTATATCTAACATTGGTGCAAAATTATTGTTTTATAAACAATTTATTGTTTTATTTATTGTTTTTTTTTTTTAGTTAATAGTAAAAATTTGAATTTTGAAAATTTTTTATTCCTGGGAATAAATGATGATTAGTAAGATTTCATAATAGTATATCTTCAAAATAGTGACAAAGATTAAAGTTCAATCAAATATCTTAAATCGATATATCAGAAATGACGGTGAGTTAATTCTTCATATTCAAATAGATAAAGGTATTTGTCATTTTATAAAGTTCAAATTATTCGAATAATTCTAACTGTCATTTTTTAAACAATATGGTTTAAACTTTGGTTTTTTTGAATTCCGTTGCAAAATAATTTCACTGTTTATTTGTGTCTGTATGTTCCAATTTGTATGCCAATCAATGTTGACACTTACCACTTATGGCTCTTTATATGCCCATAATTTAAGAACTCATATATTTCCTTGAATGATCCTTGATGATTTGATCATTTAATGTTATATCTATCCTGTATTTTGTTATTGACATGAAGGTTATAATAAATTTTTGTTAATACACTGCATACGACCGCCTCGCCTTGCTCTGCTAGAGACTATTAACAATTTCGCATTTGAAACAAATACTTTGATGTAAAATGCAAATAAATACTTGACCACAAAAGAAAATTAGCGAGGAAACATCTGATCCGTAATGTGCTAAAATAAATATAGGATTTGTATATCATGAGTTAATAAATAAATTGTAATATATTATTAACAATTTAAATTTTGAAAATAAATTTTGATATTATAGTTTCTATTATAATTTACATATTCTAAGCATTTGCTTTTAAAACTTATAATTATCTTGTAAAATAATTGGTTGATACTTTATGTATAAAATTATCGCATACATTAAAGAATAAGTCCTTGATACGATAGACCATCCGCTTCTGGAGATTCCATTCTATTTCTTAAGTGTTCTAATGTATTAGCTAAATGTTTTTGAATTTGTTCCGTTTCTTCACTAACTTCTAAGTTAGGAAGTTCTTCCTTAATTTTTGCAATGACTTGATTTACAATGTCAACAGTAAACTAAAAATGAATTATTATTAAGTTATATGTATTAATAAAAATTCTCAAAAATATGAATAATTCTTACTGTAGTATTGCCTTTCTCATAAAAATAAATATAATGATTTAAGAGTTCAACATAAAGTTGTACTTGAACTGAAGTATCCATGCACTGACTTGCTATTCTGATACCTTTTCTCAAGCAGTCCAATACTTTAAATCTATTTTGCATCTAAAATAATTATATAAGTTGATCGTATTTTGTAATACTATCGTATTATGTGTATCGTTATATTTATATATTATTTTTTAAAAATATATAATATTCACCTCTTTTCCGCCTGTTGCTAATGATTTTCCAGACCAAAATATGTGAGAACAAGTAGCAATACCTCTACATTGATCTGGTTTTCTTAATAATTTGCTAGCATATAAAACACACTGATTGCGTATTGGTTCCGCATTTTCTTCGCAAAAACAACTCATCTGTTCAAATGTAGCAATGATCAATGTAATAGCTGCTAACTGTGCTTTAGAATCACTAATTTCATCTTCATATATTGAAAATGCTTGACTCATAAATTCATAAGCTACCATTTCAAAATTATCAAAACGAATTTCTCCTATCGCTATTGCTCCTTGAAGAAATAGCCTCAATGGTAATTCAGCCAATTCAGCCTTCATTAAAGCTGTAATAGTTGCATGACAAAATTGAAAGATTTTTTGACATTTTTTCTGCCACATTTCATCCTATAAAAAAAAAAAAACAATTAAGAGAATTCTCTAATCTAAACGTCATATAAATTAATATAATAAGTCACTAACCTGATCTTTTAATCCTTTATATATAAAAGCAAGCTGATAAGCTTGAAATACAATTGGTGGTAGAGTATATTTAATTCTTTTATTTCCACCAACACTAAAGTGTTTTCTAGCAGCACTTAATATCATGTATTGTTGATCAGCTGTCTCAGATTTGAAATGATGTATTAGTCTACCAAGAAGACCTTGTTCTTCTGCAAAATCTTCGGGATCTTCTTCTATATTGGGTTGATCTGGTTGGTCTTGCACTAATGGAGACACCATAGAAAGAACTGCATCTACTTGTTCTTGAGTTGGTATCAATGTCTCGTTTTCTAATATGTTTGTTATTATATAAATAGCTAATAACTTTCTGCCTTCATAATCAAAATAATCTAATAGTGGAGCAAAATGTTCAAGCTTCAAAACAATTAATATATTTTTATAATTATCTACTGGAATTTTCATAAGTCTTACTAATTCTCTTGATACAGCACTATTATACTCCAGCCTGAAAACATTAAATTTATTACATAATCATTATATAAAAACTCTATTCTATTACTACATTATACATACTTATCTACATTCTGCTTTTGGAATATTTGGACAGTTGTTAATAAAACTTTATCCACATAATTCACTCTATCAGGATAACACTTATGTGCCAAATTAATAAGGGCTACTTGAAGAGAAACTATGTCCTCTGGAGGCATATCTTGCCTAGTCTACAAATGATAACTAATTTCAATAATCAAACATACTTAATAATTCAGTAATTATTATGAAAAGCAATTTTCAGACTTAAACTAAATGAGTAAGAATAATTTGTACATTAATAAGTAATCACATCAATATCAAAATTTTGTATAGTTTTTAATCATCACAGAAATAGTGAATTCAGCAAAAATAAATTAATAATGCATTTTTTTTTCACAAATTGTACCTGCCTGTATAATTATAGCTATCTGATCACTGAAAACATCAAAAAGTTTTACATCTTGTGGAATTCCTGGTACTTGATTAGGACTTCCTGGTCCTCCCACGCCATCTGATCTTTGACTAAATGCTGCAAGACGGTCTATTAATGAAATAATTATATTTTTCACATTTACACCATTTTGCAACTCAGCACAAGATTTTAAAAATGCATTTAAGGTTTGTAGATGAAATTCATCAGGAAAAACCTAAAAGTATGAATAAAGTATGAATAAAAGTATGAATAAATTATTAATCATTTTATTATACTATTACTTCAAACATTTTTAATAATTTCAATTACTTGAATTATACACTCCATAAGATATTCCTGAGCAATTGCATCTCTGCAACTGACTACTTGTTCTAGAATTCCTGGTAAAACAAGCTAAAAATCATTGTTATTAGCCAATTATTCTTAAGATTTCAATAAATTAAACATATTTATGACTAACCTTTTTGTATTTCTCTAAAGTAACTGATTCCAATTGGCTGAGTCGTACAAGATTAGTTCCCACTAATATTCTAAGTTCTTCTCTTTCTCTTTCCCTTCTTTCTCTATCTCTAGTATGACCTTGATGTTGCATGCGTACCCATAATTTATTCATTTCTGCGAAATTCATCAAGACAAAATCTATACTGTCACGAACCTAAGAAAAAATATAGAATATAAATCTGTCTCTTTTACACATAATTTGTTTTTATACATACACTTCCATCTTCGTCATCTTCTTCAGCAACATCTGGTAAAATGTTACGTGTACATTGTAATAAATAATTTCTTAAAAACAGACCCCTTAAAGGATGTTGAACCCCTCTACACATTTCTACTAAATCTCTTAATAAATCTCTCTTTAAGCCAGGTGTTGTTTTGATATATACTAAGCCAACTGTGATAAGTAGATATCTATAAAAATTATATACATTATCAGAATGCAATGAATATATGTAATAAAAACTAGTAGGATTTTTTGAAATGAACACTTACAACCTGGGTACAATATTTCCAACATATTGTACTAATTCATATAAATCTGTAACTTTTCTTCCTTTCTGAAATTCATCTAACAAATAAAGTTCTAAATGCCTTAATTCATCAGTAATAGCCATATCTAACATTAGAAATAAGAAAAAATATATTGTTGTTGTTTATTATCTAAAATAATGATATCAAAATACATATATAATGGACAAAATTATAAGACACTTTTCTTCCCTATTTCTTTTTATTTTTTGATGGGTTCTTAGATTTTTCAGTACATTATATATAGCACAATAACTTTTATTTAACAATTTCATAAATGTGACAATGTAACAATTTCACATGTTAGTACTATATTTTTTGTCTGTAACAGAACATTTTGATCATTTTCACTTTTCCTTAATCTATTAACTCGTTTTGTCTTAAATAATTAAATAAATAATAATCCATTAATTCTTTTTATCTTAAATAAGTAATATTATAAATAAATGACAGATTTTTACTTCTATGTTTACTCACAGTCAAATAACTACTGATAGAAATTGCAAAAATAAAAAATAAGTAAAGTGACATAAGTGACATAATTCTGTCTAATCAATGTCAGCTTATATTTACATATATCACATACCTATTTAAAATAATAGAAAAGGTACGTATAAGACATAAAATTTTTCAAAAAATTTTCATTTTTTATATATACAAAATTTATAAATGTCTTATAATTTTCTCTACTGATATAATTATTTAAAATTAATAAGGATACATAATTCATAATAACTCTTTGGACTTAATAAAGATGTTCTAAGTTCTCCTAACATTGTAGATGCATGTTTTAATGCATCCATTAATTTAGACTTATCTAGACAATGTTTCATTTGAAAAGCCTGTACTTTGACCACACCAATTGCATCTTCAAGTAGTTTTTCTTGCTCTTCTACTCCAGTTATGGCAGGTGTCATTGGCTGCGAGAAAAATAAAGATACCTACCAGGAACACCAGGTAGTACCATGCTAGATAAACAACTCAATGCAAGCATGCACCATCTTATGCTTCCATGATAAAGAAGAAGCAAAATGAAACTATTCTAGTACATTATAAGTATAAAATTAACCCATTAATATTTATGAACAAAGAAGTATTACATAATTTATGCAAAAAGCAATAATATTATAATGCATTTACAATAAAAATGAACTACAATTAAGATATTTTTTATATAATTTTACATACTTTTGAGACAATGTTTGATTAATAATAGAGGTTGCAATTTTAACAAAATATATAAACTAAATTTAAAAAAATGTAAAAGTAAACTTTCAAAAATAATCTTTCTATGGCATTTAATAAAAGATAAAAAAAATGTCAAGCTGACTTTAAACATTCACTAAATTGTTAAGCATAAATTTTTTGCAACAGTTAACCTTCATAATATTACGAATTTTATTACGGATAATGCTTTACATTTTTATTGAAATTCAATTGATATTGTTGATTATGTTGTCACAAGCAAGGCCTTAACATGCTTTCTGAAATTAAATTTATATTTACCATCTTTTTTTTTCTTAGAAAACTGAATATTTGTTTCCCGCACTTGAAACACTCACCGTTAAAAGCGACACACTATAATTACAGACTTACATATTTTGAATTAGATGCATATATGGAAAACTATTTATTAAAATATTTTTAAATTAATATATTTACTTAGATTATATATCAAGATATTTAATTATAAATAATGAAATAATTTTTTTATACCAAATTGAATATTTTTCAAGATTTTAATTACTTTATTATATATTATGTTTTTTACATCTTTGACTGATAAAATAAATAAATATTTACACTGTCATAGTTTTTATAGATTTTTATTAAAAACATTACATCTAAATTATTTTACATATACAAGATTATATCTGATATACTATTCATTATGTACAAAATTATCCAAGGAGAGCTTATCTGTGGCAACCTGCTCCTATTGAATAAACAATCTTTTTATAAATCAAAACTTTTAATATGAACTGATCATAAACTGTGAAATATCAATTAACCTTCAATGATTTCATATAAATATCCAATTCATCCTCACTCTCAATTTCATTTGTATTTTCAGTTGAACCTATAGTTTCAGGTGATTCTGAATCAAAATATTTATCTTCTTCATCCTGTGTTCTTAAATCTATGTTGTCATATGCTTCATTTTCATCAACAGTGCTAAAAAAATTGTATATTATAACAATATATATAAAATGTATAATAAACAAGCAATTATATTAAAAATATATTTATAATGTATAAATAATAAATTAAAATATTATGAAATTAAATGTTTTTAAATACCTATAATCAAAATCTATATCTTTTCCATCCAAAAAGTTTTGGTACATATTTGTTACAAATTCTTGTTTAAGTACTTGCTTTTGGGATTTTGAAATGCAATGCGGATTTTTTAATATTTCATTTTTATGTTGAACTTTATTCTCTACAATAGGTATTATGGCCCAATATGTAGCTTTTTCTCCATAATTTTTTGAAGCAAACACAATTTCTTGCTCTTCATCTGTATCATTTTCCTCCAGTACATTTTGTTCTTCTTCCTCTTGTAATTTTTGTTTCATCTTTAAATTATCCCTTTCAATATTTTCCATTAATAAATTCACAAAAGTAATATTTTTAGTATCTATATTATCTCTAAGTCTTTTTTGTTCTTCGGTCATATATTGTCCAATTAAATGTTCATATAACAATGGATTTCTTTTCATCATCTCAGATTCACTGAAATACTCTCCTTCTTTTATTAAAGTCTTTAAAGCTTGGTATCTTCTATTTTTCACATCAGTTTGTCTTGTTGAACTATTGAAATATCTTTGTAATTTGTTAAAATAATAAGCAATTTCATAATCTTCATTTTTACTTTTTGCAAAAAATTTTAAATGTTCTTTCTTCATATAGTGACCAAACTTAGATAAAAATAAACAATAACTTTTTTGAAGTATATTACGGGCAATTACTAATTTTTCTTCAAAAGTTAAATCTGGTTCATCTTTTTGTTGACTCTTAAAAATTGCCTTACTTTTTGCTACATGATACAACAGTTCTTCTTCTAAATTTTTATCTACTTCATTTAAAGAAATTTGTTGCGAATTATTATTGTCATTTTTGTCACCTACAATAACTTTTGATACATTAATTTGTTTATCTTCTTCCTTATTCATGTTTAATCTAAATATTTTATTTTATAACCACAATTTTAACGTAATTAAATTAACGCGATCGATCGCGTAACACTTATATCTCACATATTATAATTCCATACATATTGACTGTGAAAATATTTTTACAATAATACTTTTGTTTTTATTTTTAATTTAATATATATATATGTATACACACACACACATATATATATTTTTTTTTTTTCATACAATTTCTATCTTGTACGTCATCAGAACTGTCATTGAAAACCTAACCTACAATTTTGATACAAGACCAATTCGAAATACGATATATCGAGAAATGTATAACAAATGTTAAGATACGTTTATACATGTGTGTATGTGTGTGTGTGTATTATTTTATAAACTGGAATATTATATATTTTATATTTCATTATGTATTTTATATTTCATAAGTAAGTACTTCATGATATGGGAAATCTATTATATTATTGTACGTTGTTTTTTAATTACCATTTTAATTTTGTTTGCAAACAGTTATGATAGTTGAAATAACAGATAAGAAGTTTCCCAAAATAAATATTTAACTATTAGTCAAGTGCAATAGAAATTGTATACTTTTGCTATTTACCTATAAATTACACATTAATTTCTATGTATCTTAGAGAATTGTGTTTATCAATTTGAATTTATTTGGCTTATGAATATGGATAATTGGTTAATTGATGATGGTGAAGAGACATGGAAATGGAATTGGACAGAATTATGTGGGTATCATGGAGATTTTAAACCTTTAAATCCAGATACACGTGATCTTGATGTATGCTTCCAACAGCTTTGCCTCCAGGTAATTCATTATCAAGCACTTATGTTTCATATACATAAATCATATATATTATTATATCTTTTAAAACACTTTCTAGATTCCAGTTTTAACCTGTATTGCTATAATTTCTGCTTATCACTGTGGAAAAAGAAACATATATTCTATTCATCATTTTGGCTCTAATTATGTCATAAAATTGAGAATTATAATTACAATGTGCCTTATAATTCTTCCTATACTTAGAGCATATATTATTCTTAGTAATACTGTTCTTGCTCCATCAAAACATACACTATCTAGTAATAATTCAATACATATTATAACATCAACTGAAAGGCCAGATATATCTTCGGAAAGTTCACATATATTATATCAGATACAAGATAAATGGAATCATACTATTGATTTTGCAAAATCAATTCTTTTTCCGAAGACCAGTATTCAAAATGTCACTGACTCTCCTATCATTTCTAACATACAAAAGTACAATCCAATATTAATTACAGTCAAAGACAAAACCACATCTGCCAAACCCATTGATTATCTCGTGGCTGGTACTGAAGGAATAGCATGGGTTGTTCATCTTTGTTTTATAATGAACTTAAGAAAAGGAAGAAATTTTAATCCACGTGGTCCTGTTTTAATTCGAGCATTAATATTTTTATTGATTGTTATATCTATATTATTGTTAAGAAGTCATATCAAATACAATCCACAAAATGATGTTTTACCAGATTTGTCATTGGGATTTAGTATCAGTGTAGTCACTCTATTAATACTCTATGCTGTAACACTAATACCAGGTCATAATAGTTTACGAGATATGAGGTCGTCTCAATATAATGAAGTAAGTTATTATAATCTGTTTACTTCCAATATACTACTTCATATTATCAATGATTAATATTTTCTGCTTACTCATCAGTGAAGAGATTTCAGAATCTATTGCTAAATATATATGTTGTTATTAATTTAACTATGCTATCTAATATGGATAATTAAGCAAACATAGATATAATAAATTAATGAGAAATATGTTTATAGATAGGAGAACGAACTGCACTATTGAATAGTCCTAATTCTTCTTATATAAGATTTCCTGAAGAACAGGACCCAACTTATCTTGGGATTGCTATGGAAAATGCAACTATAATTTCTAAACTTATATTTCATTGGGTAAATCCACTAATGGAAAAAGGTGTTCATGGTTCATTAAATAATTCTGATGATTTATTTGACTTACCAGAATACATCAGTACTAATACAATTAATCAAAAGATTGATAAGCATTTACAAAATATGGTAAATGTAATATTATACTTTTTCAATTGTTAATAACAAAAATAATTATATTTAAAATAATATATTGTAGCAAAGTGATGTAACTAATAGAGTGGAAAATTTTGAATCAATATTAGAGAATAATGAAGAAGAAACAGAAACACACATTCAAACTATTAAAAATAAAATAACTTTGTTTAAATTATTACATAAATGCTTTGGTTGTGAGTTTTATTTTGTTGGAATATTAAAATTTATTACTGATTCCACTTCGTTTCTGGGACCATTATTACTTAATAAATTAATTGGTTTTATTGAAGATAAAAGTGAACCTGTCTTATATGGATATTTATATGCATCATTAATATTTATAAGTGCTTTAATAGGTACGTAACCTATGAATAAAAGACTATGTTTGTTGGAAATCTTAATAATTATAATAATTCTTATAATAACTCTTAATTTTTTTATTTTAGGAGCTTTTTGTAATACTCATTTCACTTTCTGGATGTCTGTAATTGGTTTAAAAATTCGTTCTACAGTTGTAACTTTATTGTATCGAAAGATTTTGCATTCCTCAAATGTACAAATGAGAAAACAATTTAATTTTGGTGAAATTGTTAATTTTATGAGTACAGACAGTGATAGACTTGTTAACAGTTGTGCAAGTTTTCATGCATTTTGGAGCATACCATTACAGGTAATTTATTTTATTGTACTTCCACATTAAGAAGCTATTCAACAATAAAAATATTTATATGTTTTTCAGTTAATTGTAGCATTATATTTTCTATACAAGCTAATAGGAGTTTCATTCCTAGCTGGTATTACTTTTGCAGTAGTGCTTATACCTATAAATAAAGTGATAGCAAATCAAATTGGAAAATATAGTACGAAATTGATGGAGTGGAAAGATCGAAGAGTTAGACTTATAGGGGAAACACTACGCGGAATAACTACAATTAAATTAAATGTGTGGGAAGATCATTTTTTGCGAAATATATTAAGTTAGTACATTCTAAAAAATACTAATTTATTTCTTATTATTCTTCGCAAATAATATGTTTTTGATTTTTTTTATTCAGAATTACGTGAAAATGAGATTAAGTATTTACGCGGCAGAAAATATTTAGATGCTTTGTGTGTTTACTTTTGGGCTACAACACCTGTATTGATTTCCATATTAACATTTGCTACATATGTACTTCTTGGAAATAAACTTGATGCAAAGACAGTTTTTACTAGTATGGCATTGTTGAACATGCTAATTGCTCCATTGAATGCATTTCCATGGATTTTGAATGGTCTTACAGAGGCTTGGGTATCACTTAAAAGAATTCAAAGGATGTTAGATGTAAGTTAAAGTTTATGAATTTATAAATGATTTATAAATATTAATTAAATTTAATCCAATATAGTTACCAGATATAGATTTGTCATCATATTATTCAGAACCGCCACCTAGAATAGATTTAATGCTCCAAGATATAATATTTAGCGTAAATGGAAATCAAAATACAGAGCAAAATGGTCTCACTAAATCTAAAAATGTTTCAAGCCCATCTGGTAGTTCAGAGTCTAAAAAAACTGTTACCTTTGAAGGTGATGGCATTTTTAATTTAAATGACATTAGTATTACTGTCCCAAAGGTAATAATTTCGCAATCACGTGTCGTTTTAATTTTATCCAATTTTACAAACTATACACTATTTTAGGGACACTTAATTGGTATTATGGGAGAAGTGGGCAGCGGAAAATCATTACTTTTTGATGGTATTTTAGGTGAAATTATCAAGGTTCGTGGAATAATAGCAGTAAATGACAGCAAAAAAGGTTTTGCGTATGTGAAACAAAATCCATGGTTACAGCGTGGCACAATTCGGGAGAACATTCTTTTTGGCAAACCATATGATTATAATAAATATAAGTAAGTATTAAATTAATAATATAAGCATTGAATATTTGTGAGTAAAAATGTTATAATATTTCTAACTAAAATTATTTATTACAGGAATATCTTAGCAGCATGTGCTCTCAGTACTGATTTAAATTCTTTACCTAAGAAAGACCTAACACTTATTGGCGAGGCAGGAAACACATTAAGTGGAGGTCAAAAAACAAGAATTTCTTTAGCACGTGCTATATATGCGGATAAAGATATTTATTTATTAGATGATGTTTTGGCAACTTTAGATCCAAAAGTCGCTAGTTACGTGTTTAAACATGTTATTATGGGTTTATTAAATAACAAAACAAGATTATTATGTACTCATCAAACTCGATATTTAATGTATGCAAATTTAGTATTAGAAATGTCGAAAGGTAGAATCATTAATCAAGGCAAACCAAGTGACGTGTTATCTGATTTAGAGGATTACTTATTATCTTCAGATTCTATAGAGTCAGATTTAAATATCATGTCCGCGAATGATTTGCCAACGGAATTATATCAAATTAATAGGGATGAAAAAGATGTCTTACTTGATGAAGAATATAAAGAGAAAGGCAAAATACGACTTGGAGTATACAACTGTTACATAAAAGCAATAGGTCCTTATTTGGCAATTTCAATTATTCTCTCTATGTTTTTAATGCAAAGTTCTAAAAATGTCACGGATTTATGGCTTTCATACTGGGTTACTCACGTTAATATAAATGTAACTAATATCACAGATAGCTCATCAACTTTACGATTGCAATATTTCTTTGAAGATTATAGTATAAGTACAGATTATTATTTAACGGTATATGCGTTGTTGGCTGTATTTAATACAATATTTACATTAATGAGAGCATTTATATTTGCATATAGCGGAATTCAAGCAGCAATTTGTATACACAAACAACTTTTAAAAATTATAGTACGGGTATGTAAATTTCATGAAAAATACCTATCATGCTAAAATATGTAACTTGAATAATATAGAATACGTTTTTAGGCTAAAGCTATCTTTTTTGATGTTCAACCATTTGGTAGCATTTTAAATAGATTTTCATCTGATACATATACAGTTGATGATAGTCTTCCTTTTATCGCTAATATATTGTTTGCTCAGTTATTTGGCTTGATTGCAACGATTATTGTTGTAGCCTATGGATTGCCGTGGATACTTTTAGTATTGGCGCCATTAATACCGGTTTATCATTGGATTCAAAATCATTATAGGTATGTTGCCTAAGTTTGTTGATAAATTGTAGGTATGTTCGTGTACATATGTTCTGAACTACTTGTTATTTTATCTATATTTTTCAGATTAACATCGAGAGAATTAAAGCGCTTATCCAGTGCTGCTCTTTCACCATTGTATGCACATTTCAACGAAACTCTACATGGATTATCTACCATTAGAGCTTTCCGCACAGTTTCTCGTTTCGAACAAGAAAACGAACTCTTGTTAGAAATTAGTCAAAAAACGCAATTTGCATCGTTTGCTGTGAGCCAATGGCTTGCACTAAGATTACAACTTATTGGAGTGGCACTTTTAGCAGGAGTGAGCAATATAGCAGTTTTACAACATCAATATAATATTGCGGACCCTGGTTTAATAGGTCTTATTATTACTTACACATTATCCGTGACTGGATTACTTTCTGGTGTAGTAAACGCATTTACCGAAACAGAGAGGGAAATGATAGCGGTTGAACGCGTAAAACAATATTTAGAAAATATTCCGATAGAAACTGTAAAAGGAGAAAATCCACCATATGCTTGGCCGAGTCAAGGTGTAATTGAATTTAGAGATGTTGTTTTAAAATACAGGTAACTAATACTACTAATTAAAACTAATTAAATGCTATTGTTAAGTATTATAATGTTTAAATCTTGCAGAGAACATTTAGTACCATCTTTAAATGGTATATCGTTTATTACTAGACCAGCAGAAAAAATTGGAATCGTTGGTCGTACGGGTGCTGGAAAAAGTTCTCTGTTCGCTTCATTATTTAGATTAACAGAAATAACTGTTGGAAGTATATTGATCGATAACGTTAATATAGAAACTTTACAATTAAACGCAATAAGGTATGAATAATTAACTAATTTAAAAATTTTTAATTATATTGTTCAAAAAATTTTATCTTTTTTTCATCTCTATTTTTCTCCATCAGTTTTTGAAAAAATCAATTTCGAAAAAAAATACAAATTTTCAATTTTAAACATTTGCTGTATTTTAACTGAAAGTTACAAATAATTTTACATATCCTCTCAAATATAATAATATATGTTACGAATAAACGTTTAAGTATATTACATAAGCAAATATGTGAAATGCATCAATTTTTGTATAAGAATTTTTCGATTTATGTTGAAAACTAAAAATTCAGATGCAAGCAATAGAGCAAACTTTTTTCTTGTTTTCGAATGAGAAATTAAAATAATTCCACGAGACATGAGGTACGGAAAGTAATTATTAATATTAACGATCACTTGACGTTCTTCTCCGAAAATAGCCATTTCATTAGGTATATTAGCTTACTTACTGTTATATTTATTGCTTGTATATTATTTAACTTATTAATATTTTTTCAAATAAAATAAAATTTAACTTATTAATACTATTTCAAGTAAAATAAAATATTTTATCAATCTAATTATAATAATATTATCACATAATCATTTTAAAAATACAATAAAGGAATATTGCTTTTAAATGTATTATTTATATTTAAAGTTGAAAATTTGTATTGTCTCTCAAAACTGATTTTCTAAAAAACTGAGAATGATAAAAAAAATGGTTTTCATATTCAGTATATAAAACAAAAATTACTTTAGTTATTACGCAAGATACTTATTGTACAGTGTTAGAAATAAATATTGAAATCATTTCAGATCTCGATTAGCTATCATACCACAAAATCCATTTCTATTTTCGGGCACGATACGAGAGAATCTTGATCCCCTAAATCAATATCCAGATTTACAAATATATAAAGCCATCGAGAAATGCAAAATTCATTCGTTAGTATATCGTTTGGGGGGGTTTGGTGCTACTTTGGATGAAGGGGGTAGCAATCTTAGTGCAGGTCAAAGGCAACTGTTCTGTTTAGTTAGAGCAATTTTACATAATGCTAAGGTATTATTATACTTTTTTAGGAACTTCTACAGTTCTATAGTACATTTTATATACATTTGAATTATTAATTTTTTCTTATAGATCGTCTGTATTGATGAAGCTACGGCAAATGTTGATCAAGAAACAGACAAGTTTATTCAAGCGACAATAAAATCTTCTTTCCAAACTGCTACAGTATTTACTATAGCACATAGGATAAGAACGATCATGTACTGTGATAGGTATGTTACTTTCATAAGTTACTTTAAATATGTATGTTTGATGTATGTTTTTTAAATTTTAGAGTACTTGTACTAGGAGATGGAGAAGTTTTAGAATTTGATGAACCCAATTTATTAATTGAAAATATTGATTCTCATTTCTATCATCTTATAAACCAAGAATTTTCTGATAAGGAGTGAATGTAAGACTAAATATCTTTTGCCTAAATATTTATTTTTTCAACAAATGCGTAATCTTATAAAATGATATAGTATTTGTTATTTTTACTACATATAACGCAATGTGTTATTTATTGGTAAGAAATCTGTAAATTATAATTATTTTCATATAAATCTAATCAATAAGAATATATAAAATGTGTTAATTTAGTAAACGTATTAAGATTATAAAATATGATTTGATTTTTTATTATTATAGATTAAAATATTTGTATTAAGTCAAACTACCTCGCTGTAAATTCTTACATTGTGGGTAATATAAGAATTCATCAAAATCAGAATACTCTTTTTTTGTAATAATCCAACTCTTTAAATGTCGTCTGAAATACTGTTGGTATTATTTTCAAGTCAATAGACTTTCTTGTAAAATTGAAATCATCTAATATTAAATATCCTTTATCTATAAGAACAGCTCTTTGATCATTTAAAAATATATTAACTTTGTTAACAATACCTACAATCTTTATCCAATAAAGTGAATAATATTTGTACATTAACACGTAAATCTTTTTAATATATGTACATTAACAGTATAATCTTTTTAAATATTCAAACTCTTCGTATAAAATTCTATTGAAAGGTAGATTGAAAAATTTGTTTCACTTCCATCTGTAGATCAAAACAGAAGTTACGCATCTTTAATCAAAATTCGCTATCTTTGTAAAAAAGGACTTCAATTTGTTTGGACAATCCAAAAACAACCGTCATTGCTATTTTGTATTCACATTTGTTCCTTTTCCATTTACATAAGCATAATTAAAATTCTAGAGTTTCAAATCATTCGAATTCTTACAGTTATTCAGGATTAAATTTCGACCTTACCATATTCGCGCAATTTTTGAGATTGTTTAGCGTCATCTCGTCCTTCCCAAATGAATTCCACTAAATGGAAATTTTCTTGAATGATTTCAAAATTAAACGATTTAATAAAAACAAGGTGTTACTAGTAGTTACGTCACACGAGAGAAAAGATATCAGTTTTTCATCACGAGAAATTTAACCGACACGTATTATATCGTAATTAAAACAGTGCCTCTCTTTAGCCGGCGGTACATATTTTGTAATATTCATCGCACAGCCAATTAACGTCGCCGCGAAACACGCACACGCGTTCTGCCACAGCTGTGTGTGTTTGATGACATAACGTGTATACTATATCCGGTATTCAACTGGCATTTTCACGGCCTCTGTCACCGTTCTCTGCCGCTGGAAACTAATGAGCTAATAAGTACCCCGACTAATTTTTTTCTCGTTTTTTAATTACCCGCCATTTAATCCCGTTTACTTTTTTTCTCGTGTACGCGTATATCGCGGCAAAAACGATATTATTTTTCACACGCATCCATCCAATGAAAAATCAGTATTTTATATAACACTAATAATATACATTTTTTCCACAATATTTACCATAATTTAACTAAAGTAATTCGTAGATAGTATGTCCAAATAATCTTACAGAATCGTGTGATAGAATTATAGTTCAGAATTTGTACGCCTCGACGATTGTATTGATTGAGAAAGCTCTTTAGAGATAAACTAAATTATGATTGATGGTAGGTGCTTTTTTGTTAAAGTTGCGACGTTTCAATAACACGGTTCTCTTCTCTGGAATCCGTTTAAGATTCCATGCCTCTTTAAGAGCAACGAATGAAATAATTTTTGTAATTCTTTATCTTGTCGCAAATTTCATGCCAACGCATCGTTCCCAAATGGAAATTTAGCGTGGCGATCGAGACTATTTTGTTTTTTTACTCTGTAGACGCGATGAGAAACTGCCTTTGAAATGTGTGCTTTTGCTACAAAACACAAGAATTGAGAAATAGAGCCTCATGGATGATGATTGTACTGTATCATCGCCCGATACATTTCGACAGAATGAATGAACAAGAAAACGTTATGCTTTGCATAAAGAATAAGTTTGCTACATAGATATTTCAATCGTAAAACGAAGTTAGTACAACGCGCTATAGTATACTGTATAAGAAAAAAAATATATATACATATACATAAAGATAATAATATAAAATACTATTTATAGAAATAATATTGAAATGAACGAATCGATGACTTTTCACATTACACACCTACATCTCTTTTCGGAATTACACATACATACACATGTAATACGTATGTACATATGTATGTACATATGTATAAAATATCTAATTGACTTTTTTTCAAAATACAAAAAATTATTTGAATGAAAGTTGTTACAAAGGAGAAATGTTCTGTATATATGTATATGATGGTATTGTAGATGTGGCGTCTTGGTGATCTCAAAGTTAACTCAATTTTTTAAAAATGGATTTCTATATTTCTTTCTTTATATTCTGATAAGATTCTATGTGACGAATTTATGGCTCATGCTTATTTTAAACTTTTAATTTTATTTTTTTAATTCGGATTTGTTTACTTTACTTCAGATTACTTTACAGAAAAATAATATATTACAATATTAAAAGTTTCTAATAATTTTTCTACGAATGTGTAAATATTGATATATGAATTTGTTAACACGATTAATTTGGCTAGAACATTAATTACTGATTATTTCTTGGCAAGACATGTCAAAACCATCATTTACTAAACGAGGCCAATAATTCACAATGACAATTATTACCAAAGCAATTATGCTGAAATTGTTATGAAAGCCGCAAACAATTTTTCTCATAAAATTAATTTCTAGCCAAATAAGTAAAAAACAACAATTTTGAGCATTTGATATAACGTATTAATCAACATATTATTTTCCTGAAATATGAGTTTTGACTTCGTATGGCCTAGGACGACTTTAAACGAATTTGCCCCGTAGTTATTGAACTCGCCATAAGCACTATCGAATATATGTATCTAGAGAAAAAATACAGGATTTTATTAAAAAAAAAAATTGAATTGACCTTGAAATCGCCGAGCGTCTCTACCTACAACACCACCATGTATGTATCTATGTACATCAAAATATTTCCATTTAAAGTTGAACATTTCGAACGAATTTTTGATATTTCTTTCCATTTTGGAGAAAACTCAATCCATCATTTTATAAGAATCATACGTATGCATTTATTTTTCATTCGTTTGTCCAACACAGAGTTTTTGTTGTTTTAACATTGTACCGATCAAGAAGATTCAAAATATTTACTGAACTTACTCGTGGAATCTAGGAAAAAAAAATTTCTCAAGCATAACATGCGTATACGGATTTTTCTTAAAGAGAAAGTTAAACACGAAGCGTGGAATATTTGAAATTTCATCTTGGATGTAGCTTAGCTCGCGATACAGCCAGCATACGCACAGCCCTTCGCTTTTGCGCGTCTCGGTAGGTACTCGAGGTTTTGAAGCGCAGTCACTAGCATAGGGGTCTACCCCAAAAGTGCACCTATCAAGGGTTGGTTTCAATGAGCACACAACCCTAGAGACCCTTGCTATCGCGGAGACTGCGTACCGCCTTTCAAAAACTAGTTTGCATTTTGTTATTTAGTGAAAAATAGAAATCGCTCATTAGAGCAAACGAACAATATACGCATATTTACATCACATGGTATAACATTAGCATACGTTAATACGTTAATATTAATGTATAATTTACCACATGATTTTTTACAATCTACGTGTGTTTTACGCATTAGTTTCTCTCAAAACGATGTTTCGTCGCTCATCGAATTCCAAAAATATTACTATTTACTATTAACAAACGTGGCTGAAATGACCAGTGAATTACCACAAAATGCGTGGTAACCATGGCGTCTTTGATTTTTATAGGTTATTGTTAGTATGCTAACAAGATGTAATCTCTACAGTAATACAAATTTTCGTCACTTCTGAAGCTACGCAAAAAAATATTGAGTATAAATATAAAATAAATATTGAGTGAAAAATTCCAAGATCAATAAGAAAGCTAGATATTACGTTGTGTTATGATTATTGTCCACGGACACTATGGAAAAATGTAGGTCGCGTTGAACAGTTTCTCGCATGGAAAAAAGCACAATCACAAGTCATAACAAAATATGTTCTGTTCAGCCGTGGATCACGCGCGTGATGTCAAGCGACTGGCTGATTAGACGGTAACGGGCCATCTATTTATATTAATCCGCGATTCACTATACACGTTACGTTCACAATTCTCTTTCGTCAGTTGGCACCATCTTGGCTACATAAATCACAATTTGTCTTTTAGCGCTTATAAGTAGATAGTAGATATGACGCAGAGTTCAAAATGCATGTCGTGGTATGAAGTCGTGTAAAACTGAAATAATGCAGGATATCATGTTTAATTGACTTTGACATTATTTATGTTTGAAAAGTAATAACGATTTGTTTTACACCAATCGATTCGTATGTTTAGCTTCGTTATTTCGTCAAGAATTAAAACTTCTTTTCTTGTCTTTTCGGCACAGTCAATTATTGTATTGACTGTGTTATGTAGCACTGTTCGCGAACGTAAATACGATTTTGGATACGACTGCAGTGTAATGTCATGAGACGTCTCTCAACGACAACGCAGCGTAGCGCGGCGCGGTGCGGCGCGGCACATTGGCACAACAGTGGTCCTGTTTATGAAACAATGTCCCCGCGGTATTACTAGAAATAAAAAAACGGGATAGACGTGTCAGCAGACGAATGTAACGCCTCTCATATTTCCATTAAGTAAGGCAAGACACAGCCGGATAACAGACATAACAGGCGCGAGCTACAGCTTTTACCGTGATTGGTACACGATGTAATGGGAAAGTGCACGAAGGCAATGGGATAGAGTATAGAGATACATGTAAACCTTGCATATTGCACGTATATTGTATTAATGCGTTTGCAATATTACGCGCGCTCACGCATGTTCCTCAGCTCTTGCCATGGATTTCAAAGTCTAGTTTGTTCGTATTGAGTTCGTCTCCCGGGAGAGAGATCTGAAATTTTCTCCTTCTTCTATCGTCTGCTCGTTTGTTCTTCATCAAAAACATGCATTTACACATTGGTCGAATAAATGAAATCCTTCGATATTGAATCCATTAAGCTGGGGTTCGGTATTATCCACGAAAAGCGTTCTTAATAATGTTCGTTTGTATCTTTCAATGCAAACAATTGAGGGAATGTGTGTGTGTACACACACACACACACACACACACACACACACACACACACACACACACACACACACACACACACACACACACACACACACACNTAAACGACTTCGGATAACTTTAAAATACCTACATATTTTTTGAAATACCTACATATAATTAATCGTTTCGAAAATATTTCAGCTTCAGCATTAATCTCAGGTAACTCACCCGGTATATATTATATACATACATGTATTATATGTACACATACATATGCACAAAAAATCGGATGGGTAAAAGAATTCGCACGAGACTAAATCTTTTAATTGGACCTTATATAATAAGAGAATAACTAAACATTTAAAAAAAAAAATAATTGTTTCGCTCACGGGAAAATAAAATTTTCTGGAAGTATGTAAAAATTTTGTTTTGCCCCATAGGG